AGACCCTAAACACATGTAAATTTGGGCCCCAGTTCAAAATCTCACATTTAACTTGCTAAGGGACGGCCTTGCCTGTGCGTGTGTGTACGCGCATGTGTATGGGAAAGATTAGAAGGAAACATCAAAAAAAGAGAACCGGTGAACCACGAAAAAACAAATTGTTTCATATGTTTTGTTCATGTGTGTATGGCTGTGCGTTGATAATGATTTTGATTTTGAAAACTAATCCAAATAATTCAATGATGTTCATTTAGATATTGATTAATATTATTTCATATGTTTTTATTTTTGTGTGTATATGATTACTTCATATATAAACGTATTTTCGTATTTTTTTTAACACTAAAAGATTTGTTAACGACCGAAAATAATAAATAACGACGAATAACATAAATAGCCAACTGACACCAAAGATTTACAAGCAATTAAATTTCTCCATTACATTTCTAAGGTTTGCAGAGGAAAACAACATCCACAACTGGTATAACTGGTATCTATTAGGTGTACCTGACTAAACCACTAATCAACTCTAAGAGAAGCACTATAACTTGCCTTTTTTCTTTGGATGAACTTCCCACGATGAAACTTACCTGAAAATGGTTTAGTTTTTTAAAAGCGAGGGTTAGACTAAAAAGTCTAGTGAATTCCCTTACTTCCACAACAACCGAATAAAACTGCTTAATAAAAAGCCAACATTGTAAACATTTATTTCCAAGTAGATATCCACGTATAACACACAAAATTTGCACAATGTATGTAGACACACCTGTCACTCACTCCACTGTGACGTACACACACATGGCCCCTAGTAGATGTCTATCAGATATGCTCAAGAAACACATTCAACCCAATAGATGCATGTCGGATGTGCTTAAGAAACACATTTAGGGCACACAAATATAGACAGATATACCACACCCGAGAGATTTTACCGTCTCAAGGTACCCTATTCCTTCTGTGCAAATCAATCATATATCACATATAAAGGCTCAATAGATAACAGTGCTCCATGCGATTTGCACGGAGATTTAAATCGCGCACCAGGTTGCGTTACCTATTGTTCAATATGCTTCACCAAGAAACCCCTGCACAACCACAATTCCAACCTACTTGAAGACAGATTTTAGATTAATCCAACCCATAATCCACCTAAACAATAATCCAAAATGGTTTTTTTAACACCTTTTCATAACAAATACAAATCCATGGAAGATCAAATCTTTCCAAACAACATAATAGATCATCCACTGAAGTAAAACCACCAATATCTGAATAGACTAAGATAATCTCGGAATTAGATCAAAGTTCTTACTTGAAGAAAATGGTTTCTCCACTGCTTCTTCTCCAATTCGCCGAACCTTCAAAGTAGACCCTCTCCTCAAAGCTCCATCTCTTACACACACAAAATGCATTTCATGATGTGAATAATGAAAGGATGAGGGTAGATTTCTCATTAAAACCAGTAGTTACCACTACGACCCCTCTAGAATAGAAACAATACCATAAGGACCACGAAGTTCCAAATATAGCAAGATAAAGGAACTTGAGTTATTACAAAGATTACCCTTGTTGATTTTGTGAACACCATGTGAACAATCTTATGAACATTTTGTGAACACCAAAAGATCATTCTGGATGATTTTATAAATACCATGTAATTTGAACATGAATACTTAGGCCTTAGATGTCTCCTTCACTCGCTACTTCCTTCTTTAGCCCTCCTTTCCTTAAGACTACTTCAGGGAGTTCCTCCAAACCAAATCCTACGATTAGGGACTTTCGTCTTTACTAAAAGCGTTCTATGACGTCTCAATCTCTCTTACTTTAGGGAGGCCCTCCTATCAAGAATGAACGCTTTTGTGAACACTACAGATGGAATATGGGGTTCGAGCAAAGATGACGTTGCTCTTCTATTAACTCTTTGCTTAAATATGCCTCCGTAATCCTTGTATACACGACACTAGTGGATGAAAGAGTTTCGAAATTGTTTAGTTTTTGATATCTAAGATTACAGAATGATGGAGAAAAGCCGGGGGAGGGGGGGATTGAGGGTAGGGTGGGTAGCATAAATCATATAAAGGACAACTAAATTACCAAAACAAAAGAAGAAAAAGATAAAGAAAGAAGATTAAAAAGACAAAAACGCCCAAAAACTCGCCACACGCTTTTTCACGATGTTTGAATATCTCGAGCAAAATTTCTAAAATGGAGAATCAAAATTCAAATCTCCCAAAATAATAATATTTAACTTTAACAACTTTGTTATAGATACTACAAACATTTGATTATAATATTAAAATATTTTATTCATTAGTAAAGTTCACTTTCGATCCTTAACGTTTGTCAATTTCAATGGTTTTCATCCCTCAACTTTATTTTAACAAATTTCCCTTATGTTTGTCATCTCACAACGATTTTGGTCCCTCGGTCTAATGATCGTCAACCTTTTCTGCTAAATTCAGTATAATGAGGAGTATTTTAGTCATTTTACCTATTTTTAAATAAATTTAATATATATATATATATATATTATAAAAATATAAATAAAAATCGAAAATATATGTAACTTCCCCTCTTGTGAACCCATCGTCCCACCCCTTTAAAGCACATTTCACCGTCCATACCCCTTCAACTAAGGGTGTTTATGAGTTGGATTGATCAGGTTGAAGATATTTGAACAACCCAATCCAATGTTTGCGGTTTGGAAAATCTTAACTCAACCCAACCCAAACCAAAGTGCAACCCAACCCAACCCAACCCGTACGGTTGGTCGGGTTGATACTTTGGTACATTAAAATATTCTTTTAACCTTGAATATGTTATTTTTCTACTCATAATTTCTTTTCATCATCAACCATTTGATACAACTTATCCATATTTCTTACGTATATCACATTCAGTTAATTTTCTCAATTTACATATATATGTTCATAGTTATTGAACATATATATGAATGAGTATATAGAGATGTGAATAGATTGAAAATATGTGTATATGAAAAGCAAACATGATAATGTAATTGTCTAATGTATATATTAATAAAAATTCAACAATCATATTAAATTCAAGAAATAAAAGGATATCGGGTTCATCGGGTTGGGTTGTGTTCAAATAATAGTAACCAAATATCAACCCAATACCTATGGTTTGACAATTTTACAACTCGATTAGACATCGAGTTGCTTCGGGTTGGGTTATTTCGCGTTGGGTTGAGTTGTGTTGATCGGGTTTTTGAGCACCCCTACCTTCAACCCTTTTTCCCAATGACCAGCGACTGAACCAGTGAGAAAGTCATGGGGTTTCCTTGAGATTTGTTCGGATTATGCACCTTTCTCACCAGATTCTGCATCCCTATGTCATATGATATCCCTCATTGGTTTGATTTTGAGTTAGTGTTCGAGTTACAGATTTAGAATTTTAGAATTTGATTTGTAATGGTGGTGGTGGAGCGCTTTTGCAGGTGATGGGGAGTTCGAAAATAGGGTTTTGTTTTTGATTTTCATTCAAAGATTTGAGTTTTACGGTTTTCACGTTGGAGATTTTTTATTTGCTATCTTTATGTGGAGAAGTGGCCTGAATGGATAGGCCGTCGGAGAAGACGATCGGAGTGTACAGACTCACCGGAAAAGACAATCAAAATTGGGAACCCTTACTTAATTTTAATAGAAAATTAAGAAAATAGATAAAATAGCTAAAATACCTATCATTAAATTGAACTTAACGAAAATCGCTGCAAGTTGACAAACGTGTGAGACAAATATATCAAAACAAAATTGAGGGACGAAAACCGTTAAAATTGACAAATATTAGGAGATCAAAAATAAACTTTACTCTTTTAAGGTTTTGTATTGATAAAAATATAATAAAAATAATCTTCTCTCAAAATTAGGTTTTAGAAATTACATATTTTATTAATATATATATATATATATAGAGTTTGTTTCAAATACAATTCGTCGTATTTGTACAACCAATGTAACCCAATAAATTGAGATATTTATAGAAATGATGAGAGTTCATTTATTATGATTTGAATATTTATGTAAGATGAATATGGTTCATTAATTATGATCAATACATTGTATTAGGAAACACTCAAAACTTCTATGAAATCACATATTAATCAAATGAAATGAATGGTTGAGATTGGGTTGTATTGGTTGCACAAATATCAATGGTTGTATAATAACCAACCTATATATATATATATATATATATATATATATATATATATGGTATATTTCAAATGCAACCATGCTCATTTGTACAACCAATACAACTCCATTAATTGAGATATTTATGGAAATGATGAAAGTTCATTTATTATTATTATTTGAATATGTATGGAAGATGACTAATTATGAACAATATTTATATTAGTAAACAATCAAAACTTTTATGAAATCATATATTCATCAAATTAAATGGACGGTTGAAATTGAATTGTATTAGTTGTGTAAATGTAAAATATTGCATAATAACTCACCTCTCTCTATATATATATGTTATTTATTTTGTAAAATTAGGTTTTAGAAATTACAATTGAAGTCAGAAAATAAACCAAAGATAGTGATCGGGTTTTGACCAGAAAATAAACTGAGACGAGATGTTAATTCCTGTATTTACTGGCCTCGGCCGGAAATTGTTAACAAAACCAGGACCGAAATAGGGAATTAAAAAAACCCGCCCCATCCTGTCCTATTGCCATTGCTAACCAAAACATGTGAGGAAATACATAGCATTAGATTTTTTGTAATAAAAATAATATAAAAAACCAAAATCTAGAATTTAGTCTAATTTTATTCACAAATATATAAAATAAATTCCACCAATCAGAAATTTACAGGTGGACACAACAGAAGAGGAATCCAGATAAGGTGGGGTGGAAGTGGAATCTGAAAATATATTTGGTGTCTCTTGCCGCCCATTTCCCCCTTCATCTCCCCCATTTCAATCTTTCTTCCTTTTTTTACTCCCATCTCCATTAAAACACACACACCCACCATAAATCCGGCTTTCTATTCAATAAAATAACCCTACCTTCAATTCATGCTCAATGATTCATTCATGGTGTTCCCACTCTGACATCTCTTCAATGGAGGAACAAGCACACATCTTATTGGGAGGTAAATACGAGAAAGGGAGGCTCATCGGAACAGGTACCTTCGCTAAGGTTTATTATGCCAGGGAGATCTCCACCGGCGACAGTGTCGCCATTAAAGTCATCAATAAGGATCAAGTCAAAGATCAAGGAATGGTTGAACAGATCCAAAGAGAGATCTCTGCCACTCGCCTTGTTCGTCATCCCAATATCGTCCAACTACGTGAGGTTTTAGCTACTAAATCTAAGATCTATTATGTCATGGAGTATGTCTCCGGTGGTGAGCTCTTTGCCAAGGTTGCTAATGGCGGACGACTCAAGGAAGACGTGGCTCGCAAGTATTTCCAGCAGCTTATCAGCGCCGTTGATTTCTGTCATAGCCGCGGCGTCTCTCACCGTGATATCAAACCGGAAAACTTGCTTCTTAACGGTAACGATGATTTGAAGATCACGGATTTTGGATTCTCCGCCCTGCCCGAGCAGAAACGTTACGACGGACTTCTGCACACACAGTGTGGGACCCCTGCCTACGTCGCACCGGAGGTCTTGAGGAAGAAGGGGTATGACGGTGCCAAAGCCGATATTTGGTCATGCGGCGTTGTTTTGTATGTGCTATTAGCCGGATTCTTGCCGTTTCAGGATGAGAATCTAATGAATCTGTACCGGAAAATCTTCAAGGCGGAGTATGAGTTTCCGCCGTGGTTCTCACCGGAAACTCGAAAATTGATCTCGAAGCTTCTGATGGCGGATCCTGAGCGACGAATCTCGATTCAAGGAATAATGCGCGTGCCATGGTACCGGCGAGGTCTCTGCCGGCAGAACTCGTTCCGATTAAAGAAAGAAGGAATTTCACCACCAGATCCGGCGCCTGGATCGTTGAAAAAATCAACATCGTCGCCGGCGTTCTTCAACGCGTTTGAACTGATTTCATCTATGTCGTCTGGTTTTGACCTATCAACTTTGTTCGAAAGCAAGGAGAAGAAGAAGGTGGCTTCGATATTCACGTCGAAGTTTTCAGCGGCGGCGATCGTGGAGAGGATAGAGGCGGCGGCCCGGGGGCTACGGTTTAGGGTGGAGAGGGAGGAGGATTTCAAGGTGAGAATGGAAGGGACGGAGGAAGGACGGAAGGGAGCGTTGGCTGTGACAGCGGAGGTGTTTGAGATGGCGGCGGAGATGACGGTGGTGGAATTTTCGAAGGATTCCGGCGACACACTGGAATACGAGAAGTTTTGTGAGGAAGACGTTAGACCGGCGTTGAAGGATATCGTGTGGACGTGGCAAGGCGATGACGGAAGTTCTAACGGCGACGGTGAAGTTAACGTTAACGTTAACGTTGACTCCGATTAATTATTATTTTGTAAAACATCATAAATTCTTGATTTTGCTAATTGCTGATTTACAAAATTTACAATTCTCACAACAACAAAAATACGAAAAAAAATTATGTGTTTTTAAAAAATTTAAATTTGTAACATAAATATTAACTGTAAATCCATAATTCAGTTTAAAAATAAATAAATTTGTAACATAAATATTAATTGTAAATCATTTTTAAAACCACAAAGGTGGTGTCTGATTGGTTTTTTTTTCCAAAGGTCAAAAGTATCAGAAGGTCTCAGCTTCAAATCCAAGGAGGAATAAAAATCCCTTTATGTCTATAGAGGTTCAAATGCGGTGACTCTAGATTATCTGTAGCAGATGGTCGTCTTGAAATTAATCAACTTACATAGCTGGTTGAATATCCAGATTAATAAAAAAAATATTTTTTAATAGGATTAGATCAAAAGGTTGTGTATACGTCTTGCATGGTTGGTCTATTTCAAGCTTTTATGAGCATTGTGGGTGGGATTGGTGTAGGTCCAAACGACTATCACCAAATGAAATTTAATCATCTCTCTTTAATTTTTTTTAAAGATTTTAATATTAATTATACTAGTTGTATATATGTGCAATGTGATGGGAGCCGTGAATTTTAACGATTTTAAAGTTTCACTGATTTTTTTAGAGAAAATTTAATGATGATATAAGTTACACTTGGTTTTTACATATTAATACAATTTGAATAAATAAGAGTTATGGTTCCAATTTTGTATGGTGGTTTAAAATCCAACATATTTAAACGACTCCATAAATGTTTGATTTACACAAAGAGCAAAGAATCAAGAGATCGAGAGCGAGAGTTCTAGAGCAATTGAATGAGAGATAAATAAAATAACTTTTAATAACTCATGGTGAATATCAGTTTGAATCTCACATTGGGCAATGAGAAGAAGACATAGATGTATGAGAAGGTGAAGACATGGGTGAAAGGTGTCAAAACTATCTTGGGAACATGAAAAGTAGAAGTAATAATGTGTATTGATAACTTGTACTGTATGTTATTTTAACTGTAGATTAAGAAATTTTAAGACTGAATGCATAAAGTAATAGTATTTATTTCATTATGAGTTATTTTTAAGACTTTGTGCATTAAAAATTATTTTTAAGACTTTTAATAAATCTGGTTTATAAGGTAGTATAAATTTTTAAAATATTTTATGAAATTATTATTGTAACATATTTAAAAAAATACTTTATATAACTTAATAACGGGTTCGCTCTTATTGGTTAGAAAGATTTTAAAAAACCATTTTCTCTCATATAATATTTTTAGGGAATTTTCTAAATTTAGAGACTTTCATTCTTTTTAAAGAAAATAATTTAAAGGATCTGTTATAATACAAATATCACCAAAAATCTTCGCGTTACAACTAGAAACGGAAAAAAATATTAAGGAATAATCGGACATTGGAAAAGGAATTAACGTTACTACACGAGGTTTAAAAGAGGTAACGTGCATTTGTAATAAACACCAAAAAAAGTAAAGACAACGAACGTGATATTTTATTTGACGGAAAAGAATTTTGAGTAATATTTTCCAATCATATGTCAAATCATTAGAGATTCACGAAATCCGAAAACGTACAGTTTGATAAATGCCATCAAACTAATCTTGTGGAGTTAAATTCATTGAAGATTTTCTGTCTGTTTTATAGGACCCTTGAAAAGATATCATCAAACCACTTAAAATACGTTGCTCCCAATGAGTTTAATTGATAAAATTTAAAAAATGAAAATAAAATAGGTTTAAGCTTATGTTGAAAAGTGAAGTATGATGATAACCTGCAAAGTTGTTTGATGTTGAAAAGTCCAAACAGTGATGGATACATGATTTTTGTTTAGTGGGGTCACCTTTAAGGTAGACTAAAGATCCGCAAAATCGTCCGATGTGTTTTTAACCTAATTACAACGTTTTCGAGGGAATTTTAAAGTTTTTCGATTGATTTCGAGAGATTTTTTAGTGTTTTGTCGGTTTTGAATAACTTTTTTGGTTTTTTTTGATTGATTTCAACAGATTTTTTTGGTTAGAGTAACGGTTTCGATTGGGGTTAGGGGCCCGTGGAAAAATGTAAAGAAGGAAAGTAAAAGGTAAATCATGTAAAACCTAAATTTTAACCTCTGATTTTTTTTTGCATTTTTGACTAGGGTCCTTTTCCCTTTTCTTTTTACCCTTGCATCCGCCCCTGAGCCCAAGTGTGATTAAAAGTAGTTTTTGTAATTCTGTTTAGGTATATTAATTATTTATGAAATAAATAAAATACACAAATTAAAGGGAGTGCTAATGGTACCGTCTTGATAGGAAGTGTTGAATATTTGGAAATCGTGTATCTCTAAAGTCTATAAAACGTCAAATCGATTTAATAATATATTGTATTTTAATTATTGTTATTATTTAATATATATATATATATATATATATA